GATCCTTTCCCTTTAGGGGGGCAGAGGACATACCCCTCAATATGTCAGATGATCTATTTGGAGTACGAAAAAGAGCCCTGCTGGATCAGACAAAGGATTCAGTACTTATAGGGCAATCTGACACAATAAATTGCACTGAATTTAGGGTGCACTGACACTGTAGAAATAAAGGAGTTTGATGCCAGTTTGAGTGCAGTAGCGCCTATGGAACCCTGGGATTTGTAGGTTTACAAGGTCTTCAGCCCTCTCTGCCCAAGAGTGCTGGTGCTTTGCAAAAGTACAAAGCCCAGGGCTCTGTAGGATGGAGCCAAGGCAGCGAAAGTGGTGTCAAGCTGCATGATGTCTTCAGTGTAGATGCACCCCTAAGGAAGTGGGATTGTGTGTTGTGTGTTGTGTGCCGTCAAGTCGTTCCCGACGTATGGCAACCCTAAGGGGTTTTCTTGGCAAGGTTTGTTCAGAGGAGGTTTGCTATTGCCTTCCCCTGAGGCTGAGAGAGTGTGACTTGCCCAAGGTCACCCAGTAGATTTCATGGCCAAGCTGGGAATCGAACCCTGTGGGATTACAGCCTGATTAAGGCAAACATCATAGACCAGGGCAGGCAAAGTGCAGCTATGGGGCCATATCCGGCATCCCAAAAACCTTTTGTGATCTTTGACTCAACCAGGCACTCTGTATCCATCTTTCTTTGGCCCAAATAACAAGACAGTGAGAATTATCCCTCTTGCAAGAGTCCAAAAGTAATGGTAGGAAGGATGGAGGGAATCCAAAATTGGGAAGCTTGCAAACATGATGGAAGAAAGGAACAGATCCAGATACACAAGAAAATTGGGCAGAAATTAATAAATTAAATCCAATAGAGGCAAATGCAAAATTCTACATTCAGGCCACAAAAACCAAATGCTTAGGTATAGGATGGGGTATACATGGCTCAGCAGTACTACATGCAAAAAGGACCATGTTGGTCTCACATTGAACACGAGCCAGTTATGTGATGCTGCAGCAAAGAGGGCAAATGCTATCTTGGCCTGCATTAATAGAAGCATAGTTTCCAAATCAAGGGAAATTGATTTTAATCAGGAGTACTGCATTCACTTCTGGGTGCTTCATTTGAAGAAGGATGTAGACAATGATGTAGACTTGAGTCAAATGACTCAGACTTAAGTCAGACTTAAGTCATTTCAATGACTTGACTTGCACTTGATTTAGGGACTGACTTGCTGGCGCCATTCACTTGCTGCAGGCAAGAGCTGACTCCAAAGTGTGGGGTGCATTTCTTGGAAGGGATCCTTCTTCTAAAGCTTTTGAAGGATCCTTCCATCTCAAGAGAGATACACCCTGTCGCCTTTTTTTCCTGCAAAAAGTTGGCTCCCAGACCTGAGACTCGACTTGAGACTTGACTTGAAAATATCTTGCAAGGACTTGAGACTCAACTTGCGACTTGAAAGTAGAGAATCATAGAAACCTAGAATTGGAAGAGACCCCACAAAGGCCATCCAGTCCAACCCCCCCTTCTGCCATGCAGGAACTCACAATCCAAGCACTCCCTGAGACAGATGGCCATCCAACCTCTGTTTAAAGATCTCCAAAGAAAGAGACTCCACCACTCTCTGAGAGAACATCATCCACTGTCAAACAGCTCTTGCAGTCAGGAAGTTTTTCCTAAGGTTGAGTTGGAATCTCTTTTCCTGTAGCTTGCATCCATTGTTCTGGGTTCTATTCTCTGGAGCAGCAGAAAACAAGTGTGCTCCATCCTCAATGTGACATCTCTTCAAATACTTAAGCAGAGCAATCATATCACCCCTTAACCTTCTCTTCTCCAGGTTAAACATACCCAGTTCCCTAAACATCTCCTCATAGGGCTTTATCGTTTCCAGACTCATCACCATTTTGGTCACCCTCCAGATGGACACACTCCTTTTTGGACTGTGGTGCAAAGAACCGGACACAGGATTATTCCAGGTGAGGCCTGACCAAAGCAGAATAGAGTGGCACTATCATTTCCTTTGGTTTAGACACTACGTTCCTATTGATGCAGCCTAGAATCGCATTGGCCTTTTTAGCTGCCGCATCACACTGTTGACTCATGTTCAACCTGTGGTCTACTAGGACTCCCAGATCCCTTTCACATGGAGTCTCCTTAAGCCAGGTGTCCTCCATCTTATATCTATTAATTTCATTTTTTTTTGCCCCAAGTGCAGTACCTTACATTTCCCTATGTTGAAATTCATTTTGTTAGTTTTGGCCCAGCTTTCTAATCTATTCAGGTTGGGAGACACTATGTTTAGACTTGGACTAAAAGATTTGAATACATCACAGGCTATAGACAAGTTGGCATTAGGTTTCAATTGAACGTTAGAAGGAACTTCTTGGCAGTGAGAGCGATTCGGATGTTGAACCAATTGCTTAGGCTTGCAGGGGTAGGCAACCTTTCCCTTTTAAGGGCCGAGGGACTTCAGCTCCCAGAAGCCTCAGCCATGTTGGCCAATAGTCCCATGTTGGCCAATAGCTCCTGGGATTCTGGGAGATGAAGTCCCTCAGCCCTTAAAGGGGAAAGGTTGCCTACCCCCTGCCCTGGACTGAGCACAGGGCTGGACTTGATGGCCTCTGGGAAGCCCTTTTCCAACTCTATGAGCCTATATATGACTCTATTTGCCTTTTAAATAGGTTGCAGGGCTCCCTTGTACTGTTGATTTTTTAAAAAATGCTTGATGTTCAATACAAGAAGAGGCTTTTTGGCTCATCATTTATTTATTTATTTATTTATTTGCTTTTAATAACATCCTAATAAAAAATCTATGGGAGCTGGAAATTTCTCGGTGGTACGTATGTTTCTGGTCTTGCCAAGGGCAACTAATGGTGAGTTTATCGGCTCTGCGTCACTCGGCTCATAAACTCATAAATGTTGTACTGGCGCTAATCATTAAGGATCTGTTTCCTGGTTTGGGTGATAAAGTTCTTTTTATGCAAAGGGATCTCAGTAGCACCTTTGAGACTCACTGAGCAAAACAGGTGGAAGCATAAACTTTCGTAGAGTTGGGTCTCTTTCCTCGGAGGCATGGAGTGAAGTTATTCTTAGAGCGCGATAAGGCTTTCTGGTTTCAATGTTTCTGATGTTCTTTGGAGGTCTTTAAACAGAGGCTGGGTGGCCATCTGTCGGGGATGCTTTGATTGGGAGTTCCTGCATGGCAGGGGGGTTGGACTGGATGGCCCTTGGGGGTCTCTTCCAACTCTATGATTCTATGATTTCCAACACAGGTAGAGGCTTTTTGGTGTGATTTTTCAAAAGAAGAAGAAGAAGAAGGTCCCATCGGAATTGTTAGTTTTATTGTGTTGCATTTTACAGAGAGGCAGGATACAAATAAATATTATTATTATTATTATTATTATTATCATCATCATCATCATCGAAACGTTCCCCCAGAGCCACCAGACCCTCCAACTGCCCCAGTTTGTCACGGACAAACTGTTGTCCTACTTTTCCAACTGCTTCCCATAAAATCATAGAATTGGAAGGGACTCCAAAGGTCATCTAGTCCAACCCCACTGTGCCATGCAGGAAGACATCATAAAAACACTCCTTGACCTAGGTGGCCATCCAGACTCTGTTTAAAAATCTCTTCCAAAAAGGAGACTCCACTACCTTCCAAGGCATCGTATCACATTGTGGAGCAGCTCTTGCTGCCAGGAAGTTCCTCCTAATGTTGAGCTGGAATCTCTTTTCCTGCAGTTTGCACCCATTGCTCAACAGGGCTATCATAGAATCAGAGTTTTCATACAGGGTCTGGGAGATGCTCTGTACTGCATAAGCCACTAGTAAAATGCAGCTCTCTTATAACTGTGCTGCAACCTTCTCCCCCCTTTTGGCCACCAGATGAAGGAATGTTGGGCATCACAGTTGGAAGAGGATGCTGGGCATCACAGTTGGAAGAGGATTTGGAGAACTGTGCATGATTGTTCTGCCTAATCTGTCACTGTTGTTTCCAGGAACCTTGGTTATTTTAATGCTGACCCTAACAGTATCATGCAATCACAGAGTTGGAAGAGACCCCAAGGGTCATCCAATCCAACCCCATTCTGCCATGCAGGAAGACACAACCAAAGCACCTCCTGATGAGATAGATGGCCTCCCAGTCTCTGTTTAAAAACCTCCAAAGAATGAGACTCCATCACCTTCCAAGGCAGCATCTTCCACTGTCAAACAGCTCTTACTATCAGAAAATCCTTGCTAATGTTGAGGTGGAATCTCTTTTCCTGCAGTTTGAATCCATTGCTTCATGTCCTATTTTCTGGAGCAGCAGAAAACAAGCTTGCTCCCTCCTCAATATGACATCCCTTCAAATATTTAAGGAGGGCTTCCATACCCCCTCTTAACTATCCCTAACCCAGGCTAAACATACCCAGTTCCCTACGCTGCCGCTCATAGGGCTTTATGGGATCCAGACCTTTCACCATTTTGGTTGTCCTCCTCTGGAGACGCTCCAGAATCTCAATATCCCTCTTGAATATTGAACCCAGAATTTGACACAATATTCCAGGCGAGCTCTGACCAAAGCACAATAGAGCGGCCCTATTATTTCCTTCAGTCTAGACACTGTGCTCCTATTGATCCAGCCTAGGATCATATTGGCTTTTTAAGCTGCAGCGTCACACTCCTCTGTCATCCCACTTTTTCAGCTGCTTTTCAAATGTCCCAGTTTCTCTCTCTTCCTCCCACATTCCTCCTTTCTCTTCAGTATTTTTCGCTTGCTGGAAACTGATTTCAAAGCATGAAAGTAGTTTCCACTCGGATAACTCTGGAGGGAGGAGAAGACGGAAGGGAGCAGAATCTTTCCCTTCCCAGTCGGCTCAGGCAAAAACAAACTGCTGCAGCCTTTACTAGGTTGTGGCTCC